CTCCAACAGGACGACTACGTGTGACTGCAGGTTGTGTTCACGCTGAAGCGATGGAAGATCTTGTCCTGAACCTCTACAAGAGCAAGAAGGAGACAAAGAGAAGTCATGTGAGGTTTGGTTGAGCAAAAGCTCCTTCAGTAAAACTGTGTTCGCATCTTATCACAGTTCTGGAAGTTGCAGTTTGGAAACAGAGAAACGACACTTTGGTTTTCCCTCCAGTGTTTAATAAACGTGTCAGACAGCCCAGCAGGAGCTTTCTACAAGCTGCAGCGCCTTCAAACCCACTGTGACTGTGTTTGTTAATGCTGTCAGCCACACTGAATATGAGCCTCAACGGAGAACATGCAGGAGCTCTGCAGGATGATCTTCACTCACATGAGACCAACAACAGTCATGTTCTCACCTCTGATGTGTCCCTCACAGGGGACTTCTAGAAAACCAATAAAAGGTCATTTTATGGTATATTGTCCCAAAAATATATAAAATAAAATAATATGTGAGAAAAAGGTGAGAATGTGACATTATGAATGTAAAATGATATTTTCAGCTGATTCACAGTAAAGCTGCAGTTTTATGGTCGTATGTTGTAAAGGAACACATTACAAACTGAAAAACTACAGGTTTGTTTTATAGCCTGTTTTGTTTTTTAAAAAATACACATTTCTGGGTTTTTTGTGATTTTTTTTTTCTTCCATTTGTTCCAGTATCTTTTTCGTTGCTCCTCTTGGAGCTGCAGGGCATCGGTCATGGGCCCAATAAGTTTTATATTTTCTATTATGAGGTGAAAAGGTTCCGTGTGGGAGGCTGGTTCTGTAACCAGAACTTGTTCGGGCCTTCTGGGCTGATGTCATAAAGATTTTCAGGAGATAAGCATCATCAGCATCCAAAATACACCAACATGAAGGAGCAGCTGATGCTAAAGCCCAAAGTTTTATAGATTACATCCGTTACGTCTGAGCGAGTGAGCAGGACCAAGACATGTGTCCGTAGTCTGCTACTGTTTCCCCACATCGTCTCCAGCAGTGTGCCGGGAATAAATAGTGGGATTAAAATAATAATAATAATAATAATAGATTAAATTAATACATTTTTTTTCTGGGGGCTGCAGGTGGCGCAGTGGTTAGCACTGTCGCCTCACAGCTAGAGCCGGTTCACGTCCCGGTGAGGACACCCGGGATCTTCCTGCGTGGAGTCTCCATGTTCTCCCCGTGCAGCGTGGGTTCTCTCCGGGTTCTCCGGCTTCCTCCCACAGTCCAGAAACATGCTGAGGTTAATTGGTGATTGTAAATTGTCCGTAGGTGTGAATGTGAGTGTGCTTGGTTGTCTGTCTCTAAGTGTAGCCCTGTGATAGACTGGTTACCTGTCCAGGTGAACCTGCCTTCACCCTGAGTCAGCTGGATAGGCTCCGCCCCCCATGACCCTGGTGAGGATGAAGGTGTAGAGATGATGGATGGATGATCCCTTTGGTAGGGTACCTCAGGTTCCTCTGTGCTGGCCTCTTCTAGCTCAGTTTGTAGAATAAGTTGCATCAAACTCACATAAACATGTCGGCTAATGAAGGTTTGTCATTGTTGGTACAGAAGACAACATCTGGACCCACATCAGACTCTTTGCTGCACTAGATGAATCCGACTCACCTCCTTCTGCTTCAAAGCTTCAGATGCTGGTAACAGCTTCTGTTTGTGCATCTCGTCCATGATGGCGGGTTCTCTGTCTCTCTGCTTGTTTCGGCTTGTTTCCTCTCATTATGGGATGAATCCCACTGTGTGTGTGTGTGTGTGTGTGTGTGTGTGTGTGTGTGTGTGTGTGTGTGTGTGTAGATGCAGATGATCCAGTTGATCTTCATTATTCCCAACTTCAACTGAAATTTCTTCTTCTCACTCTTCTTCTTCTTCTTCCTCCCTGACTCTTGTTTCTGGTCCTCACTGATCTGAGAACAGCCAGTAATGTCTTGCCATGAAATGAAGAAATGAAAAGATCTGTTCTGGCTTTAACACTAACAGGACAGGTGATCAGGTGACCTCCTCAGAGTTTATACATGACTGATGCATTGATGAGTGAGTAGATCTAATACAGAGATATCACTCGGTACCTGTGGTTCTGTCCCAGACCCAGACCGTAGAGGCTTTTCTTGGTGAGCAACACAAACCAGACGCTCCAGAAGCAACAAGATCTGCACAAACATGACCGCTGCCACATACGTGCACGTGTCACATTACAGATGTGTATGACACATCTGTAATGTGACATATACACATGAGATGGGATTCATTGTGTTCACTTTTCCTTCCCTCTCTGTCTTTTCTGACCTGGTTCCTGTTGGGTCACCACATAATGAACGTCTTACAGAAAAGAGCAACGTCCAGCTCCAGATGACCAGCGCTGGGACACGGGTCAGCGTGCACATCTACAAAACGGCACATAAACCTGATTAACGTGATGAAGTCA